AGTTTCCCAGCTCAGGGACCCCTCACTCACAGCCCCAGCCCCAGGGGGAACCCGGAAGTCCGTGGCAACCAATCAGGCGTGGAGGGGGCATGGCCAGGAGCCACGTGGGGCTTTAAAGGCGGGGAGACCAGCCCCTCAGTTGGTGGGTGGGATGGTGGCAGCCTCTCTGGAGTGTGGTGTGTGATGGGTGGGTGTGGATATGTGAGAGCAAAAACAGCCAAGATGGTCTCCACTCGGTCTGGAGCCACAGTCAAAAAGAACAGAGCATGCCAAACTGACCTGCCGGAGAGACATGCAGCTGTTCAGGTGATGGGCTGCAGGGAAGGTCTGTCTCTCTTGCTGGAGGATGGCAAAGACAACACCTGTGTGTGCTGTGAGCAGATCAACAATCTGCTCAGCCTGGTGGCTGAGCTTAAAGAGGAAGTGGAAAGACCAAGGGGCGTTAGGGAATGTGAAAAGGAAATGCCATCCTTAGGGAAAATAAGCAGGGGGAGACTTTTCAAGAGGAAGAGGAACCTGTACCCAGCCCCAGTCAGGCTAAAGATGGAAGTCTAGATAATAACAATGAATGGAGAAAAGTTCATAGTCAGGGCAGCAGAGGAACTCCCCCCTTGCCCACTGCACCCTGCCCGGTTCCTCTCAAGAACAGATATGAGGTTCTGGTTTAAGAAAGCCCGTTGAGTGAGAATGTAGTTGATGAGCAACCTACATCACAAACACACCAGTCAAAAAAATATACACCTTGGATCACCAGCACACCCACAAGGGGAAAAAGGCGAGTTATAGTTGTGGGTGACTCCTTCCTAAGTGGGACTGAAGGCCCAGTATGCCGGGTGGACCCTCCACAGAGGGACGTCTGTTGTCTCCCTGGAGCCTGGGTAAAGGACATCACCAGAAAACTTCCTGGCTTAGTACGTCCTACAGACTACTATCCTTTATTGATTTTCCAGGTAGGTACAGAAGAATCTGCAAACCGCAGCTCAAGGTCAATAAAAAAAGACTTCAGGGTGTTGGGAAATGTGGTTAGGGGATCTGGGGCACAGGTTATCTTCTCATCACTCCTTTCTGTAGCAGGCAAAGATGCTGAGAGAAACAGAAATATCCAATCAATTAAGACGTGGCTCTGTAGCTGGTGCCACCGTCATAAGTTTGGGTTCTTTGACATTGGATTTACCTGTGCAACACCAGGCCTGTTAACACCTAACTGGAAGTGCCTCTCTCAAAGGGGAAGGGGGTTCTTGCCCAAGAGACTTGCCCAAGTTTGATTGACAGGGCTTTAAACTAGATGGGAGGGGGGAAGGGGTGGATACCAGGCTTATCAGTGATAAGCTTTGGGGTACCACACCAGGGTTAGAGGGACAGGGTGTTAGTAAGGGCCTTCAGCCTGGTTCCCTAAGCCAAGCTGGAGACCCTTCACTACAGTCAAAGTCTTATGGTTATGAGCCAGCAGCTCCCAGGGTAGAGGCAATACACAGAGATACACCTGACAGACACTCCAGGGGGTATTCCCCTAAGAGTAGCACAGCCAACAGCCCAGCTGAAGTGCCTCTACACCAATGCACGCAGCATGGGCAACAAACAGGAGGAGTTGGAGGCTACTGTGCTGCTGGAAGGATATGATATAGTGGCCATCACTGAAACCTGGTGGGATGAATCCCATGACTGGAGTGTGGCTATTAAGGGCTACAAGTTGTTCAGAAGAGGCAGGCAAGGAAAGAGGGGCAGAGGTGTTGTCCTTTATGTTAAGGAATGGATAGAGAGTGAGGAGATGTCCCTAAAACCCTCCATAGTATCAGATGAGAGAGTTGAAAGCCTGTGGGTAAGGACTAAGGGGCAGGCCAATATGAGGGGACACTGTTTTGGGTGTTTATTACAGGCCACCTGATCAGAATGGGAAGCTGATGAAGCCTTTTACAATCAGCACCAAGTAGCCTTGCAATTGCAGGCCTTGGTTCTGGCGGGGGACTTCAATTACCCAGATATCTGCTGAAATGGGCTACACAGCCAGGAATATACAGTCTATGAGGTTCCTCCAGTGTATTGATAATAACTTCTTAACCCAGCTGGTGGAAGAGCCAACGAGGAAAGAAGCACTACTGGACCTAGTACTGACGAACAAAGAGGGACTAGTGGAGGACATCAAGGTTGAGGGAAACCTTGGTAGCAGTGACCATGGAAAGATAGAGTTCAGGATGGTGGGTAGTAAGCACAAAACAGCAAGTAGGACAAAAACTTTAGATTTCAATAGGGCTAACTGTGTCCTTTTTAAGAAGTTGATAGGTGAAATTCCATGGGCTAGGGCTCTGGAAGGCAAGGGGGCTCAAGAGAGCTCAGCAATATTCAAACATTGCTTTCTCCAAGCTCAGGATCAGTGCATTCCCAAGAGCAAGAAATTGAGCAAGCAGGAGATCTGGGTGGTTGAGCATGGACCACTAAAGTGGAAGACAGAAGTTTACACTGAGTGGAAGAAGGGACTGACCACTTGGGAGGATTACAGGAATGCTGTTAGAGTATGTAGGGAAGAAACAAGGAAAGCCAAGGCCTCCTTGGAATTAAAATTGGCAAGAGATGTGAAAGTCAACAAGAAGGGGTTTTTCAATTATATTGGAGGCAAAAGGAAATGTAAAGAAAATGTGGGCCCGTTGTTGGATGAGTCAGGTGCCATGGTAACAGAGGATGCAGGGAAGGCTGAGTTGCTGAATGCCTTCTTTGCCTCAGTCTTTACTACTCGGGCCAGCCCCCAGGAGCCATGGACTTTGGAGGAATCAGAGGAAGTCTGGACAAAGGAAGATCTTCCCTTGGTGGAGAAGGACCAAGTTAGAGATCAATTAAGAAGGCTGGATATCAACAAGTCCATGGCTCCGGATGGGATACACTCAAGAGTGCTGAGGGAGCTGGCAGAAGTCATTGCAGGACCACTCTCCATCGTCTTTGAGAGGTCCTGGAGAACAGGTGAGGTGCCCAAGGACTGGAGAAAAGCCAACGTCATCCCAGTCTTCAAAAAAGGCAAGAAGGACCTGGGAAATTACAGACTGGTCAGCCTCACCTCCATCCCTGGAAAGGTGATGGAACAGCTCATCCTGGGTGCCATCTCAGAGCACATGGAGGAAAAGAAAGCTATCAGAAGCAGTCAACATGGATTTACCAAGGGGAAGTCATGTCAAACTAACATGATAGCTTTCTATGATGGCATGACTGGTTGGATAGATGAAAGGAGGGCGGGTGGTGGATGTTGTCTACCTTGACTTCAGCAAGGCTTTTGACACCGTCTCCCACAGCATCCTCACAGGTGAGTTTAGGAAGTGTGGGTTAGATGAATGGACAGTGAGGTAGATTGAAAACTGGCTGAAAGACAGAGCTCAGAGGGTAGTTATTAGTGGCACAGAACCTGGTTGGAGTTCTGTAACAAGTGGTGTTCCCCAGGGGTCAGTACTGGGTCCAGTCCTCTGCAATATATCCATCAATGACCTGGAGGAAGGGATGGAATGTACCCTCAGCAAGTTTGCTGGTGACACAAAACTAGGAGGGGTGGCTGACACCCCAGAAGGCCGTGCCGCCATCCAGCGAGACCTGGACAGGCTGGAGAGTTGGGCCGAGAGAAATCTAATGAAATTTAACAAGGGCAGGTGTAGGGTGCTGCACCTGGGGAGAAATAACCCCCTGCACCGGTACAGGTTGGGGGCAGACCTGCTGGAGAGCAGCTCTGAGGAAAAAGACCTGGGAGTCCTGGTGGACAACAGGATGACCATGAGCCAGCAATGTGCCCCAAGAAGGCCAATGGCATCCTGGGGTGCACCAAGAAGAGCGTGGCCAGCAGGGCGAGGGAAGTCATCCTGCCCCTCTACTCCACCCTGGTGAGGCCCCATCTGGAGTACTGTGTCCAGTTGTGGGCTCCCCAGTTGAAGGAGGACAGGGAACTGCTGGGGAGGGTGCAGCAAAGGGCCACAAAGGGCCCTTTGATTAAGGGCCTGCAGCATCTCTCCTACAAGATAACTACCTGGAGGGGGGGTGTAGAGAGGTTGGGGAGGGGGTCTCGTCTCCCAAGTCACAGGAGATAGGGCCAATGGAAATGGCCTCGAGTTGCACCAGGGGAGGTTTAGATTGGGCATTAGGAAACATTTCTTCACCGAAAGGGTTTTCAAGCATTGGAATAGGCTGCCCAGGGAAGTGGTTGAGGCACCATCCCTAGAGGTGTTCAAGAGGCGGGTAGACATGGTCGGCAGGAATATGGTTTAGTAATTTTTATTTCCTATTTCCTATTTATTTTTTTGTCAGAGTTAAGTTGCTGGTTGGACTGGATGATCTTTAAGGTCCCTTCCAACCTAGACAAATCTAGGATTCTAGGATTCTGGGATTCTAGGCTTTCTGTTGAAGGTTGCCCGTAGGGAGCCAGGGTTTGGAGCTGATGCTCCTCATGCGTCCCCTCCACTCAGGATTGTCTCTGATGGTGAGGTTGCCCTGGGCAGGCAGATGATAATAAAGCCAAACTCTAGCCCCCCAGCAGCTCCCTCTTAAGCAGGAGCCCAGGGCAGGGGGCAGGTGCTGAGGCGGGGTGGGGGCCAAGGCGGGGCTGGTTGCCAGGGGGCCCTGTGATGCGCTCTGGCGCCTGGGATTCCGCAAGTAACACGTCACCATGGGGGTGGCTATAAAGGGCCCCGTCCGGCAGCGCTGAGCCATTCGAGCCCAGGACGATGGTGAGTAGGCTGGCGGGGGGAGGCTGGGTTGGAAGAGGGCCGGGGCAGAAAGACTGGCCCCCCAGGGGCGGGGGGTGGGTTCCCTTCACACACCATCCAGGGCCCAGCCGCTGGCGGGAGCGCCTTGAGCACGGTGTCGCCACCACCGCTGCTGCCGCCAGCTCTGGGCGCAGGCCTTGCTGCCTCCCCGCTGCCTCCCCCCTCTCCTGCCTGCCCCCCGCTCCCTGCGGCTCCCGGCCCCGCTCCCCCCACTGCCAGCTCCCTCCCAGCCCCACTGAGACCCTTCTCTCTCTCCTCCTGCAGGCCATGGCTGCCACAGGGCTGTTGCTCTTCCAGGCTCTGCAAAGCTTCTTCCAGCAGGTGCTGGCTGCTCAGCTGGACGAGGCCATGCCAGAGCGCATGGAGCAGCGTGAGACGTCCCTGCGAGAGCGGGTGACTGAGCTTCTGCAGGGGCTGGAGCAGGCTGCCGCTGCCTGGGCAGCCCCGCTCCTCCCTGCCTTGCGGCAATGGCACTTCGGGGCCATTGCTGTGCTTCTCCTCCTCCTCCTGCTACTGGGACTCGGCTGCTGGCTCTGGAAACGGAGGTGCCAGACAGGCAACAGCGGCACGGAGCGCACCACCACCGAGAAGGCCGAACGAGAGGAGTCCGAAGGAACAGCCAGGGTTGCGATGCATGGGCGCAGGATTTCGGCCCAGCGCCTCCTGGACCTCTCAGAGTCGTTCACCATGGTGGAGGAGCTGGTTGACGAACTTCTGCGGATCTGCCGAAAACTGTCACGGAACAGTTTCATGCCAGAACCGAGGCCAGTCGTCGGGGTGAGCAGCGCCCTAGGAGGTTGGAGTGGCTGTGAGGACGATGCCGTGTACCGCCTCCTCGTGCCCCTGAAGCCCCCTCGTGGCCATGCCTTCCACGTGGACGTGGGCACCTCCTCCAGCAAGGGCACCGCGGAGAGGAAGGCCAGCCTCCGTGTCGAGCTGCGGTGCACGTGCATGAGGGAGCAGCTGGCCGAGGACATGCTCTGCTTCCTCCACCACCCCCAGAAGGAGCTGAAGGAAAGACAGGCTCCCAGCCTCCTGGGCACCCTCTGCACTGGCCCCTACCTGGACACTGACAAAACCTCACGCTGGCTGCAGATCCTGCTGAAAAGGGCCTGGGCGGTTATGCCTCAGTCGGCACACTGCCGTCTGACGGTGCTACCCTCCAGGCACTCCTGCACCCTCCGGCTCACGAACGCTTCCGGCAGCACCGTCCGCATTGAGATGCTCTTCGGCGTCAAGGAAGGCGACTCCTATGTCTTCCTGAGCTGAAAGGAGCCGCTGCCAGGAGCCTGCCTGGCAACAGAGTCTCACTCCCTTTACCCCTGGGCAGCAATTGCCCTCCCTCCCTGTTCCCGAGTCCCTTCCCTTGGTGACCCTTGACCCTCTGTCAATAGCTTTCAATAGATGACTTGTTTGAGCAAACGCTGTCTGTGAGAGTCCGGGCATCACTTGGTTGGCAAAGGCGGGCATAGGGTGCTGGCTGCTCAGCTGCCACAGGGTCGGGGAGCGTTGTGCAGAAGAGCGGCCGCAGCGCGCTCTGCTTTCGCGAGTCCCTGGGCCTTGGCTTGCCAGGGCTGGCGGGTCAATCCCAGTAGCAGCTGGGCATCACACAGCTGCTCAGTCCCTTGCCCTACTTGGGATGGTGGAGAGAATCCTAGGGGTAAAAGTGGGAAAACTTGTGGGCTCAGCTAAGGCAGTCCAGCAGGAAAAGCAAGAGCTACACGCCAAAGCAAAGCAAAAGAAGAACTTGTGCCCTACTCCCCTGCTCTGCTCACCAGAGCTGCCTTTCTGGGCAGCCTTCTGCCTCCCTGGCCCTCGGGTTACCGTGAAATTTCCCAGCCTTGTACAGCCTTCTATCTATTATCCTATCTCAACTGGGAAGGCACCCATAAGGATCAACCAAGGCCAACACTCTGCTCCTCACAGGACCACCTAAACTTCAACCTTAGGACTCAGAGCCTTCTCCAGATGCTCCTTGAACACTCACAGGCTTGGTGCCACGGCCACTTCCCTGGGGAGGCTCTTCCAGCAACAGACCACCCTCTTAGTGAAGAACCTCTTCCTAACGTCCTCTCTGAACTTCCCCCGATGCAGCTTCATGCCATTTCCTTGTGTCCTATTGCTGCTCACCAGAGCGAGCAGGTCATCCCAGTCTTCAGAAAGGGCAAGAAGGAGGACCCGGGAAACTACAGACCGGTCAGCCTCACCTCTATCCCTGGAAAGGTGATGGAATGCCTCATCCTGGGTGTCATCTCAGAGCATATGGAGGAAAAGAAAGCTAACAGAAGTAGTCAACAGGGATTTACCAAGGGGAAGCCTTGTCAGACTAACATGATAGCTTTCTATGATGACATGACTGATTGGATAGATGAGAAGAGGGCGGTGGATGTTGTCTACCTTGACTTCAGCATGGCTTTCGACACCGTCTCCCACAGCATCCTCATAGCTAAGCTTAGGAAGTGTGGGTTAGATGAATGGACAGTCAGGTGGACTGAAAACTGGCTAAAAGACAGAGCTCAGAAGGTTGTGATTAGGGGCACAGAATGCAGCTGGAAGTCTGTAACAAGTATTGTTCCCCAGGGGTCAGTACTGGGTCCAGTCCTCTGCAATATATTCATCAGGACCTGGATGAAGGGATCGAATGTACACTCAGCAGATTTGCTGATGACACAAAACTAGGAGGGGTGGCTGACACCTTAAAAGGCTGTGCCGCCATCCAGCGAGACCTGGACAGGCTGGAGAGCTGGGCCGAGAGAAACCTAATGAAATTTAACAAGGGCAAGTGTAGGGTGCTGCACCTGGGGAGAAATAACCCCCTGCACCAGTACAGGTTGGAGGCTGACCTGCTGGAGAGCAGCTCTGAGGAAAAAGACCTGGGAGTTCTGGTGGACAACAGGATGACCATGAGCCAGCAATGTGCCCCAAGAAGGCCAATGGCATCCTGGGGTGCATCAAGAAGAGCGTGGCCAGCAGGGCGAGGGAAGTCATCCTGCCCCTCTACTCCACCCTGGTGAGGCCCCATCTGGAGTACTGTGTCCAGTTGTGGGCTCCCCAGTTCAAGAAGGACAGGGAACTGCTGGAGAGGGTACAGCAAAGGGCCACAAAGATGATTAAGGGCCTGGAGCATCTCTCCTACTAGGAGAGGCTGAGGGACTTGGGTCTTTTTAGTCTTGAGAAGAGAAGACTTAGGGGGGATCTAATCAATGCTTACAAATACTTAAAGGGAGGGTGCCAGGAGGACGGGGCTGATCTTTTTTCAGTGGTGCCCAGTGACAGGACAAGAGGAAATGGGCACAAACTTGAGTATAAGAAGTTCCACCTAAACATGAGAAGGAACTCTCATTGTGCCTGTGCAACCTGCTATAGGTAGACCCGCTTTGGCAGGGGAGTTGGACTAGATGATCTCCAGAGGTCCCTTCCAACCCCATATGATTCTGTGATTCTAGGGGAAAAATGTAAAACTATGGAGTACTTTGCTTATGCTTAAATGATTCTGAAATGTCACTGAAGTAATAGCCTCACCATTTTTCTTCTGTGCTGAAGCAATTTCTCATTTTATTGCTATGTGATTTTTGTTTGATTAGGGAGGGGGTAGAAAAGTAAAATGCCCTGGTGCAGACTTCACATGTAACCTTGGCTTACTATTGGATTTGTCCTCAATTTCCTACACATACAACAGGGTAAAGAAGGGGAATGGACTTAGTTTTTTCATGAAAATGTAGGGTGAGAATCAACCTGTTAAAATGTGTGATGGTATCTTGTTAAGAGAAACAATCATACATTATTATAGCAACCCTGAAAAAGATCGTATTCAAACATAACAGAGTACTAAACCACTTTTTTTTCTAGCTAAACATTCAGGGCGCAGATAATGAAAACTACTGAGCAACACAGTGTTACTCCAATCTAATGTAATTAAACACAATTAAAAGGAAAAAAAAAGCAAGAAACGATCCTCAGTTATTTGATGGTGGATTATTTCCATGAAAAAATGACTAAAAAAAAAAAAAAAAAAGAAAACTTGAGACAACCAACAAGTCAATCTGAGTAATTTAATTTAGTCATTCTGAAAAATTAATTTACTGCAGAATTTGCTGTCTTTTATAACACAGAAATAGGTAGTAGGGTCGATACTGGAACATCCAGTATTCAAAATTGTGCTAGGATACTAGATCTTTACAGATCTGTAAGTAAAGAGAAATACACTAAAATAATTTTCTTTAGCTTTTTGTTGAAATAATGTTTGAGAAATATGCCTGTCTGGTTACGAATAACAGTTATTTAAAGTGAGTATCTTCTAACAATCCAAGTTAATATTCATATCAGAATTATTTTATTTAAAGTAGGGAAATCTCCACGAATGTAGGGCTTTGTTTCCACTGTCTTTCATACTGAACCTGTGTGCTGCCAGATCATCCAAAAATACTTAGCTGATCTTCATCTGACATCACAACATAATTACCTTTTTGTTCAACCAACCCAACATAGTATCTTTTGCAGATATGATGTCTATGTACAAGATAGGTTGTCCAAAATAAATCAACTTTTTTTTTTTGTTTCTTTTTTTTTTTTTTTTTTTTTCTAATACCGATGTAAAACTTCCCAGTGAGTAAATCAATAGTTTCTATTGTGTGGTCAGATCATTCCAGTCTGCTGTATCTGTTGTGCCATAAGTTTGAATCATGACCTATAGAGGATCCAGTGGTGTAACTTCCTTTAAATACTGTCTCTGATTAATATCTTTGCACAACAAGGCATCATTTTAACTTATTTACAAAATATTAACATTTACAGGGCCCTAAGGTCTTTTAACTTTGCTGACCTTGAGTGGCCTCATGTGGGATCCCCACCCACAGTGTGCCCATGGGCCCAGGAGCACCATTCACATCCTGTACTAAGCTATGTTGTAGGTGTGCCTGCCTTGTGACTCCTTTTCCAGCTTCCAACTAGCCTCTGTGGGCTCACCGAGACCTGGCCATGTTGGCTTCCTTTGTCATGTTGAAGGTTTCAGATGAAGGCTGTGACTAGCTCCTGGCTCTGCCTCCTGTGCTCAGATCCAGCAGGGCTTTGCCCTGTTGGTGGGGCACCGTCATGCTGGTGTCACCTTTGGCTCCTACCTCACCTTTCTTCAGCAGGCAGTCAGCCCTTACTACTCCCTGATGCAAATACATTTTTCACCTCAATGATTATTGTTAAGGAATAATTCAGTCTGCCTAAAAACCTTTTTTTTTTTTTTTCAGATTTTAGGTGACAGTTTTGATTTTTTCAGATCTTGTGAAGATCATGAGGGTGTTGTATCTGGTACAGAGGCAATGACACCATGGTCTTTCTTATTTAAAAAATGTCAAGTTAAAGCTTGCTCGATCTTACTCTGTATCAGCAAGGGTTTTTAGTTTGCTCATTTTTGTTTCTCAGTACAAAATCATTTTTTAATTTCCACTGCCATGGGCAGAGAAGAGCAAGTTTTCACTGTCTTGAACAGAAAAATGACAAAATGAGTCTTTGAACCAGAATACTTTCTAGTGACCCAAAGCATTTAAAACATTCTCCTAGAAGATAATGCACTTCTAATCTAACCAGGGAAAAATAACCTTTACAGAGAATATGAATACTGAAAAATATAAAGACATACAAATATACACATAGACACGTTTCACCTTACAGTACCAATGAACTTAAAGGAATTAAATATTTTTAAGTCCATTTTCTTGTGTGTAAAGGTGATCTTTGTTATAGATATTGATAGCTAGTGCAAACGTCTCACATGCTTCTAGCTCATTATAATATTTCTTATTTAAGGGCATGGGAAAGTAAGAAGCTAAATCAAATAGGCTTAATAATTTGCATCATGCTAGTACACTTTCTGAAGTATGCTGTTAAATATTAATGAATTTCATTCTCTTGAGATAAAGTTTATATCTGTGTAATTTTTATGAGTTCATGTATATGCTTATATGCTTATAAATACCCATGTGTATCATATAAAAGACCCCAAACCTACAAAAAAGCCAACCAACAGTCTAATTGCTTCCATCCTCCCATTCATTTCCTGCTTTAATATATCGGGTCTAATCCTGCTCTCACTACCAAAAAGATTTGATTGTAATGCTGTCACACAGCTGTGGCTCCACTTCCCCGAGTAGAGTTAGGAAATTGACAAATTCATGTCTTCCCATATTCTCATATAATTCTGTATTGAACAATTGAAAAAAAAACAACCTGCTTGAATTCACGTTATTATTGCTCTGATAATGTGGTGATAATATTTG